CGGCCACAGAACGACATCCCGTTGCGCGACAGTGGCACGACGTTGGAGAAATGACTCCAGGAAGGAAACTCCCAAGGGAACCTTCGGATGCCAGCGTAAAGAATTGGCCGCCGACTACAGAAGGACAATACGCCGGGTGAGTGTGTCACGACTCAAGACAGACATCCTCAGGAACACCACCCAGAAAAAGTGTGGACCCCACGAGAGGTTGGGATTCGCCAGCGAGGGGACGACCTTCCGTGTCAGAGTAGCACGGCGTAACAGGATCCCCAGAAAGAACTGGGTAAGGGACAACATACCGAGAGGGAACAGGATTGGACACAGCTGCCGATGAATATACAGGAGGGTGAAAGTACCATACGACAGTTGAGAGATATAGTGGCGTTAATACAAGAGGCACAAGACAAACACAATGCTCAAGTGGAGGCTGAGATGGAATCAATGAAGGAGGAGATGGAGTCGAGGGAAAGATACTTTACTGAACTTCAGAATGTGATAGATTCAATGGAGACGAGGATAAAAGCGTGGGACGATCACCTTGCTCGGTTAGAAATTCAAATTCGTTTGATGGAGAGTTTGATGGAGGAACAAGGTAAACAATATGATCAAATCCAGGAAGAGATGCATTCATTAAAGATGGTGGAGGATGGATGGGTTTCGATGCCTATGGAACAGATGGAAGACGATCTAGTATCCATGGAGCACTCAAGTGAAGACGAGAATGCCTAGGACACTGTAGCTACACTGTAGCTTCCAACACTGCAGCTGAGAGAAAGAGAAAGTTCCAGTCAGCAAGATCCATGTGCATTTGTTCACCTTACCAAATGTCAAGCCAGTTTTATCCAAAATGGGAACTTGGGTAAAATGCGTGCTAGAAGCCTGGTAGCAGCCATGTAAAGACGCAGACTCAGAAGCTGGACTCCAGCAAGAAACAGGCGGTTCAGGCCGAATTTTATAAGGAGGACCAATGATATAGATTAGACCTGAAACCAAAAATGATTGTGCTGGTGGTTAGCAGTCGGTCAACAGCCAGCCACGACAGGAGCCTTTGATCACAAAGGCACCAAAAGGAATTCCCATTGTTAGAAGCAGCTACCAAGTGATAAGTACATAAGACAGCCAATTTTAAAGACTTGGAGTAGTTTGTAGAGTACTTCCGATTAAAATGTATATATTTTTGTTATAACACATTTTCATGGTATAGTTTTTTTTAAAAACAAATATCTGTATTAGGGACATTTTAAATTGATAGAAACATAGGAGTGTAAATATAATTTATGATTCATATTGAAGACCTCATTGAAATAGTCAAATTGCCACCACTTGAAAGTTATTCATTTGCAGTAGAATAATGACATGGTACTACCTAATAGCACTTGTGTGATGCTTAATGGATGTAAAATGAAAATTATTCACTTAGAGCTATAATAACTTCTACAACATTGGGATAAATTTTCACCAAATCTGGAGTTGTTTGAGAATTTGGCAGTTCTTGCATTCAGAACATGACAAAAAGCTATATGTTTATTTATTTCGTCTGTATAGGTCATTGTTACATGATATAGGCAAGTCAGTTACTGTACATTGGTGTCAGAAGTGGGATGAACTTAAACACACCACTAACAGATTGTTGTGCATCGAGTACTTCACTCATGTAACATGGAGTCACAACGGATAATGGAACTCCTGCTGGCCATGCGAGAAGATAGAAAAGCGGAGAAGAATGAATTGCTGGCCCTAATGGAGGCCAACCAAATAAAGGCCGAGGCCAAGGCCGATGCCAGACACAAGGAGCTGATGGCCGATTGGAAAGCCTGGGGGGAAGAGAGGAGAACTTCCCACAAGAAAATAGTGTCCGAAACAGAAGAAGAGCCGACCTCTGTAGAAACGAAACCTGAGGCGGCAGAGCATCAAGAAGTCCCCGTAGAAGACGCCCCGAAAATACCGGTCGGAGAACCGAAGAAACGGCATAGGGACCAGAAACTGGCCGCAGAGCGCCGCCGCCAGGAACAGAAGGATTCAACGCGGGCAATTCATGGACCCCAGGAGAAATTGGCCGTCGCCCGAGTGACTACACGCCGTGTGGAAGCGACACGGCAGGAGGGAAACCGCAGGAGGACATCCCGTCGCGCGACAGTGGCACGACGTTGGAGAAATGACTCCAAGAAGGAAACTCCCCAGGGAACCTTCGGACGCCAGCAGAGAGAAGGACCGCCAACCGAACAGAGACGGCAGAGTAATTGGACCAGAGAACATCCTACGAGAGGAGTCCAGAAGGGATGGACCCCCAGAGGGAAACAACTGGTGCCCCAGGAAGGCACCAAGGGAACAAAGAATCGAGACTTCGGGGACCAGCTACAGCTTGGAAGCAAGTGGGAATTTAACAAGACCCACAGTAGGACAAAGGGATTGGAAATCGCAAAGCCAATATTCACACCTGTCCCATTATGGAAAATAAGAATGTGGACACTGTGGAGGGGTCGACCCCCTCCAAAACGGAAAAAGGGTAACGGCCCTTATGGGAGGAACCGGTAAAGTACCGGCCTCCCCAACAAAGATGAATGAAAGCGAAGAATGAATGTGAGACAAGGCGAGCAACAGATTCTGGACCACGGGAGTGCTCGGGACAAGCACCACTGAAAAAAGGGGTGGACGCGGTAAAATGAACGGCGCAATAAGGCACGCAAAGGACACCGCGGAATCGAAACCGAGGGAGAACCTTTAGGCTGTTCGGGGACGAACAACCTTTAGAAGGGAGCAATGTAACGTTTCTGGAATCCAGAAGAATCACTTCTATGGAAACGCTAGAACAGACCGTTGCATAAGAAACAACAATAGCCCTATTGTTGTTCTAACAACGTCTCCACTGCTATAACAGGGGGTTTGTTACCTAGCAGCGGCCAAGGTTATAAAAGCCCAGTTTCGACGAGAAGTCTTCAGTCTCGGAAGAGCAGTCTAAGGAGGCAGTCTCGGATCAGCCTTCGACAAGAAGAGTCGTGATCGAGCCTCCAAAGAAGAAAGTCTCTCGGAATAGCCTCCAAAGAAGAAAGCCCGGGAATATCCGCCGAAGAAGAGAGTCTGCGATAAACCGCCAGTGAAGCCAGTCCAGTGTTCGCCGAGTTATTGTAAGCAGTGATTGTAACACTGCAGTGTAAATGTCTGTAAAGTGTGTGTAAACAAGCGAAAGAAATAAATTCGCTATATCAAAGGACGGCGTGAACTTATTCGTCGCGTTATACACACAATACGTGACAATATATATAAAAAATCTGCAACTTTTGATATGAATGCAGGAAACCTGACAGCTTGATGTTATGTGAACATCAAAACAAGAGCTCCCCATATGAATTACAGAACATCTGTACAAGTGTAGTATAATGCAGAGCAGAGCACCTTAGTAAAAAAACTATAACCATATGGAAGTTTTCCTTCTTGGATAACAATCCAAATTCAATAAACTATTAACAGAACATACTTTCTCTGCAGTAACCTTTTCAGTTTACAATCTTTTTTCTTCTTGTGTCCCATTCAAATTACAACTTCAAAGTTCTAACACGAGCCTCGCCCGGTACAGATAAAAATGAGCATTGTTTCACTCTCAGCAGAACTTCAGCGAATAAGGTAAAAATTAACAACAGAATTCCGCAGCTGTTCTTTCTGTTTATACCATGCTTGAAGCAGCTGATGGCTGGAGTTCTATGCCTTCACAATCATATTCAAAGTGGCTGAGCCACTAATCACATGGCTAGATTAAAAGGCAGACTCTCTTACAAGCAGCACTAATGCTGGACTAGAAGGTCCTCATACAGATATTTTACAATTAATAACAATTATTCTGAACACTGGCACAGTTTTTTGGCATTACATGAAACATGTGCATGCGCAGTGTTCATACTGTACATGCCTATATGCCTGCAAAAACATGATAAAACTATATGAGATAGAAAAGATATGTTGCCACGTTCTAGGTAGTTCCTGAACTGCAGAAATATGTTCAAGTTCAAACAGAATGTAGACTCATCACTCTGTGAACATGAGATGCCATGGTATCTCTCTTGTAATACATAAAAAATGTTATAAACAAGATTTTTCATCATACTGTAGTCTTTGTAAGTGAGAAATCAAATGTCCAGACAATCATAACTGTAAGCAGATGCAAAAGTTTCATCTTCCCTATTGTGTTAAAAGGAATGGATATAAAATTATCTTACCGAGATTTGTTTAATAAGCCCTTTGGTTTACTCTGGTATTCCATCAATGTCTTATACTTTGGTTACTCATTTCAAATATTTGAGATTTTGGTCTCCACATTACCACTTCCATTCTTGTTATAAGGAGGTGGTAACCTAACAATCAGCTGCGCACTTCCTCCTTGCTGTCTTCCATTTGGTCCACTATTACCAGCACCATTTCCTACAGATTTGCCAAAACTATTCAAAACTGTCTGCCCTCCACTTGATTTTGGAGTCCCTTGCAAAGGTACTGTCTTCTGCTTGCCTCCTAAGGACTCTGCAGGAAATATGGGCACATGGTAAGGAACACTGGATCCAGGAGAGCTAGAGATTATCTGTTCACTTGTTTGGGTTGCAGGTTGGACTTCGGTCAAATTTGAAGTCTGTCCTTTCCCTGACTGTTGAAATAACAGTGAATTCGGGCTTGGATGTTGGTTTGTTTGCGATGCTATTGGGCTTTGCTGATAGTGCAAAGAACTACCTGAACCACTTCCTTGCTGGATATGTAACTGTGCATTACACTGGCTAAGTGGTTGTGCAGCTGATCCTGGAGAATGACGGTTTGGAGTAGAAGATGTAGATGGTCCCCTGAAGTTTGGTGCAAATGGCTGGATATGTGATGGGGTACTTGGTTGACTGTGTGTCTGTGTTACTGCTGAGTGTAAGGGAGATTTACTTGAGTTTGGAGGTGGCAAGTTCTGTGGGGTGGAAATATTGCCAGAGAGTTGTGTAGATCCAGTCTTGTTGCTCGGACCTGTGCTAGACTTCTGTGACCCACCACTGTAGCTACTAGGTGGTGCTGCAACTGGAGGAGTCCAGCTGGAGGCCATATCTGGAGAACCTGACACACAAAACATTCAACCTACAGTCATCTATTTGCTTCTTCCAAATTTAGTTTCATATGCAAGATGACATAACAGATGACGTTTCAAGTTTAAGAACTGCAGATCACAACTTGTAAACCATCAACAATTTGATAATACAATGGAAGAATTGGTTTAAAATTTTATATGTGGCCATGAATTGTAGAAAATAAATAAAATAATGAGCCTCATCTAGATACAACACAGGGGACAGCTTTTGACTGTGTGTTTTATGATCTGAATATATGTGTATGCTATTCCCACATGTGGTTTCCACATACTTACATAATGGCAGCTGTGTATATTTGAAACTGTGCCATCTAAAGACTATAAAGATGTAATCACATTCACTGGTTTAACATGGAAAGAAGGGAATGAAAAGGAAGACTGGACTGAAGGATGGGGAGACAAAATAAATGACTCCCTACTTAATTGCAATGGGCTTTCCCCACTAGAACATTATTGCAGCTGAAGATATCGTAAGCTTATTTTAGAGAGAAATGTGAAGATTTATGATGGGTGACAAGTCTACTTATGGGATACTGTCATGTGAAAGAACACCTTTTTAAATTTGGATTAACCAACAATCCGACTTGTGAAATGTGCCTGGAGAAAGACGAATCATCCTCACATGTCCTAGTGAGTCTACAGCATG